CCCCAAAACCCCAAAACCCCAAAACCCCATTTTTATAAGAATTTATTGAAAATGGACCCAAACGGTGACTTACAATTTGAGAAGCTATATCGTTCCAAAGGTACACTAATAAAGACAAGGTACATTTCGCTCTAACCCACAGAAACTTGCCATATAACATTAAGAAGAACAAGTTGCAAAGGTTGACCTTTAGTCCTGAGATAAGGAATCCGAACTCCCGTTTGTTGGAAGAGTCAATGGGACCAATGTCTACTATCGACGAGGTAATTTCTATTAGAGGAATTTTATAGGATGGTAGTCTTAAGCCTCACAATGTCAGTAAATTCATGATTCCTCGTAAGTACCTAAGGATCTATAAGGTCTAAAAGTGCCAAGGGCAGTTGGACTGTATTTTTATGTACTTTTTGATGCAAAATAACCCTCTTTGTAGCACCTAGCCCTCTGTTCACATTCGATGAGGATGACAACAAGTACAGGCTAGAGATAAAGAAGCAGAAAGTCAATAAGCTTGACAAGTTGATTTCCAAACTTGATGCCAGAGTTAAGGAGATCGATGACCTTCCTCCTGTGTTCTGAAGTGCAGACTTTAGACAGAGGATTAATAGACTTGGTATGTAAATGGACGTTGGTCAACTGTTTTGCTACAAAATCCATAAGTTGTCTCTGATAACAACAACCAAAATCTAAGAGGTTTAAATATTTTACAGCAAACTGGGTTTTACATTCATTAATGGTAACAAATTTGTATCAGCGATGAATTCTCTTAGGATGATATCCTAAGTATGGTTTTGCGAGAAGATGATCAATTATTGACAGCAATCTCTATTTTCACTATTAGAGCTTATCAAAAGTAAAACTTTTAAGACCAAAGAAGCCCCAGAAATAATGATTACCCTAGTATATTACCAAATTTGTCTTCTAATATGTCTTAAAGCTTAATGTTGATTCCCAAAAGGGACTCTGATCTTGTAAGAAATTATCCTATTAGTCTTCTATCTCAGGCCGATTAGAAACTTCAGGTTAGAAATCTTCATAACTTTCAGTCAACTTTAATTGAATAGGGGTTTTGGGGTTTTGGGGTTTTGGGGTTTTGGGG